GAATGCGACGCTTATGAGACTTTACAGAAACGATAGTTGTGTTAACTGTTTGAAGACCTGTCAGACAAGTAAAACTTTTGACAAACGCTCACACCAATCAACTGATGATTTGATTGACAGTAGGAAAATCAAAACAGCCAAATGCATTATGCCATATGCTACTGGCTGATCGATATGAATATTTGGAAACTACTCGTGTCAACTAGTAGCGTTGGCTAACCAGATCGAAGTGACCTATGAATACTGGTAAGCAGTCTCACTTTTCAAGAACCACACGAATTTTACTCCAAACTGAAGCTGTGTAAGATGAATGTCAGTTACTGGAAATATAAGTAATCATGAGAAGAGATAGCTGATATCGACAAATTTCACATCACATTAAATGGGATCTAAATTTTCTAAATAGGGGTGCCCTGGGTTCAACATTAACCCACCCCATGAACTGGTAGAATCAACCCAAATGTTATAGGCCTTTTTATTACATAAACGCATGCTGCTTTTATAATTCGTACGATTATCAAATCCAACAATCTGCAGACAGTTTGTTATCTTTAACTAATTCATCCACTTGACACGGTAGAATTACCTCATGCAGAAGAACTATGATTAAGTCACTGTATATAATTTGAGATTTTGTAGATTCTGATTTAATATTACTTTGATAAAGCTATTAGCAGCATTAAATAGCGAAAAATGCATAGCAGCAATATCGTTTCCTTTTTCATTCATTGGGAAATACAAAATTTTTTTATAATAATGAAATTTGAGATAAAGTAAACTGAATGACCGTATATATCTTCTGATGAACTACGGGGCATGCCTAAACTATGAGATATGGATAATAATAATAATAATAATACAGTTTCAACGTAAAAGTCTGCACAAAAATGTTGTAGTTCAACTTGCCACATCCCATACAGCACACAATGTAGAGAAAAGGAATTCAGAAGAACTACAACGAGTAGAAATGTTCGGTGAAAACAATAATAACATAGCATAAACAGAATTGGAGGATTAGAAAGAGTGACAGCATCTGCAACATCGAGGACGGTTTCGAGCCATATCGTCAATAGTCTTAATTCATTGAATCTGAAGATTCATATTATCGCAGCCACGTGGCTCAAACCAACAGTCAAAGACTTCATAGACTGATACCCAGTTTTGGTTTGACCGCCCCTAACTAATTCTCAACCCGACCAAATGTTAGCTAACACTGCTATCGAGGAAGGCGGTAGTTCAGTATGCGCAACACGTATTCTAGCCATTTCAACCGATATAGATTCATAACCTTATCGATTGACTTTCTTTCACTACCTAGCACTCTGAGCTTAACTTCAATATTACTCACTATATTATACCTTTCAGTTCAAGAAATAGAACACAAACATCTGTAGTCAAAGACATATAGTCTTTTTATACCTTCCACTTTCAACGGCTGCCTTACTGCCATAAAGGAAGACAGAGAGAACTGCTGCCCGGTAAACACATCTGTTGAGCAATAGCCAGATATTGCATCTACGTAAGTTGACAAATGCCACACTAGCCTTTCGTATCTGTGCTAAGAGCTAAGAGTCAGCGCCGACCAGTCCTGCAGCATCACCTTATAATTGACAGGGTCGAATCGCATACCAAACATGCTACGGTTTCTGCTGAATACGTCCAGAATCATTATCATATCAACTGAATAACCGTTCTAGGTTGTCAATTAAGTAACCACAAAAATATAAGCATAACAAATACTTTTCGCACAGCTTAAGACGAAATACAAAAATTATTCAAATGTATATAATGCCATAGTTGTTTATACATAAACACATTATAGTGTCTTCTACTTCTGGGAAGAAAAGTGAAAATGATGAAACAGTTATTGAACATAAATCTCATGTAAGTGTTTCCCCTTATGATTCTCTTAATTGTTGAAGATGCTGCTGATCGGCGTAAGCATTCGATTTACCACCAGTGAGTGCCGGGTTCGAATCCTGCTCCACATACTTCAGGATGGGCTGTGTGATCAGCCACAGCACGCAATAAATGCAGCTCATAATCTGAAATATAAAAGACCTGTTACGAGTAACTGAGACCCAACAAATAAATATTTGCCTTATTTCATTTCATCATTATAGTTGTTTCGTAAAATGTTTTTGAAGAGCATTGCTTCCGAACAGTAATATATCAAAGGGTTAATTCAGTTAAAGTAGCTTAGTCAACATAACATGTAATGAATAGCAAGGAGGATTCAATGACTTCTAAGGACTAAATTTCCGATCAACATCTAAACACTGCCCTAACATGAATATATGGTAATCTGAAGTAATTGAAGACTCTCACAGAATGACACTTCAAAGTTAAACACAATTCATGGAGTTACTTGAAATGAAAATGGGATAGAAAATATCCAGGTCCTGTAGAAATTCAAGAGACACCAAACGGATAACACAAACTGACAGAACACTAAATGCAATCCATCAAATTCTATAGGTTTATTGTTAAAGGCATTCACTAGCAGATGAAACATTCTTATTATTCTACAGATATCACTAATTACTTTCCAAACAGCTGGTCGTAGGATCTAACTCCACTCAAAGTGGAGAGGTTTGAATAGTAAGACACCATCAGCAGCGCCTACACAACAAGTGTGGCTCATCACCAACTGGATATACGTGCAAATGGTTAAGTAGCATATTATTTTCACTTCATACAACAAAAGCCCTTTTTCAAGTATTGGTTTGTAGGGATTTGATTGATTGGTTACAGGATTTCATCATGAGTTGACATTGGTTAGAGAACCATTGGAAAACCTGGGAGTACTGGACAGCTGTTTCGTCCTAGTTCGGGACTCTTCATCAGTACGCACTCATCGGGGTTCGAACCCAGGACCTTCTGGTTACAAGGCGAGCTCGTATACCATTAAGCCACTGGGACCCGATCCAATGGCCCATGAATTCTAACTTCTGCCAATTCACGACATAGCGCGACCCCTAGCCAATGTCTTTGGCGGGTATTTGTCCTCCAGCCAATGTTAACTCATCATGAAATCCTGTAACCAATCAATCAAATCCCTACAAACCAATACTTGAATATCAATGAAATGCTCACTGGTGACTGGCCGTATTCAGGTAGGTAGTTACCTGGGTTCTAGTGGGAAGTCATGACCAGTAAGGTGCAGCAGGTCGGGTGTGAGGACAAATACCCGCCAAAGACATCGGCTAGCGGTTGCGCTATGTCGTGAATTGACAGAAGCTGGAATTCATGGGCCATTAGATCGGGTCCCAGTGGCTTAATGGTATACGAGCTCGCCTTGTAACCAGAAGGTCGTGGGTTCGAACCCCAGTGGGTGCGTACTGTGAAGAGTCGCAAACTAGGACGAAACAGCTGTCCAGTACTCCCGGGTTTTCCAATGGTTCTCTAGCCAATGTCAACTTATGATGAAATCCTGTAAAAGCCCTAATCCTAAACAGTTTCATCGACTACATGTTAAACAGACTGTCGCAAATAGTATTATTAATAAGAAAAATCATTATAAACAGACAAAATACTGTAAAACAGTCTAAGTATTGATTGACGAACCATGTTTCAACATAGAACATCGCACAGAAGCACACCAGTTCAAGTCACATTCCATATAGCACACAAAGGTAGAAAAGAACAAAAGTATTCAAAAGAGCTATTACGAGCAGAAATCTATGGAAGAAAGAATAATTACATGTAAAAACGTGAGAACTTAATGCATCTGGGATATTACAAACAGTGAATGCATCTGTGCTATTGAAGGACACATTGATCCAATGAAACATTTCACACTATACATTATATTCTTGAAACCGTTACTATTAACCCTGTGACAGAAATGACACGATCCACAATACATAATTCTACGCAGTATTAGAATAATCAAGAGTGCAGACGGTCTCTGAGCACTGCATTTAGGTAACGTCAAAACGACAGTGGCAAATTAGACTAAAGACATTTGCTTCAATCGAATAGTACAAACAAACAGTTGAAAAATTCATTCGAATAACCTTATTGACTAACAGGATTGAGTAGCATTTTAGAAGTGTAAGCACTAACAATAAGCGATCGATGTCATGTAAAAGCAGTAATAATGAGTGAAGCGCGTTTAAGTAAAAAAGGGGTAAAAGTGAGAAATTAAAGCACAGTGAAAACAAAATATATTTGAGAATCAGGCATCGATGAGAAAAAATAGCATCTTTGAAAATAGCCCACTTCATGTTATATATATATATATATATATATATATATATATATATATTCCAACACAACAGACAAAAGAATTGATTATACACTTTATGGAGACCAAAACCACCAAGTATAATTGCTCCAGACTGCTTAGCCCTTTTAAGGAACTTTCGAACCAATGAACTACCTAATGACTAGTACCTGAAAGAGTAGATCACTAGAGAGTACTTCGACTAAGTATATCTTAGGCTAAAATGAGCATTGAGTAAAAGAGCAGTGTAATTCGAACACTGGAAACAAATACTAATTTACTTAGTTTAGACATTTGAAAGCATACAGAAGTGTAACAGATTGCGTTGCTTCGAGAAAGTGGCCCAAATAAGCCAATAACAACTTAAGAACAGGTTTGACTCATATCTCCAACGACGATATAAAAACAGAATAAAACTGTATAATAGATTGTTACTATGTTCACAATGGGTTCACCAACCCGTATACAGACATACATATTACTCTAAATCTAACGTTACCACCTTACCGCTTAAACCGGAGTAGATATGACAAGGTTCGAACCCGCAATCTGATAGGCCAAAGTCTACTGACTACGTCAGTCAAACACACCTTTACTCTATGAATCTGACGTTTATGATCAAATATTGAAAAGACACCAAGTGCTTACACTATTTCAAATGTCTCGTAAGCTCTCAACAAACACTAATTATGTTTAAACTTTACTTTCTGTAAAAAACTAGGACAAAACGTACATCTAGAAAAATGAGCTAACAAGGTTAATCAATACTTACCTATTCAAATTTTTCGATAAATCTAATGTTACATAGTTTGATGGGAACCATCCCATTCGTTGTGGTTTACCTTCAGTAATCAAAATTCCACGCCACCAACCATCTGAACTTTTTTCTAAAACACGTATTTTATCACCCCTTTCAATTGATAACTCATCTGGTTGACAAGCTGGATAATTGAAACGTGCCTGACAAATTTGACGACCCAAACCAGTTCCAGTACCGAAATAAGATGCATTATCTAAATTTCCTGTTATCATGCTACTTTGTTGAAATGGTGTTAAGGATGTATTTAAAGTGCCATGTCCATTTTGATAATTAGGCATGGAAATATTCCCAATGGAATGCTACATGTGTAGATTTAAAAAGAAGGCAAACAATGTATTTAGAAAGGTATAAAACAACTTGTAAAGTATAGGTGGACAAAAAAGCATGAGTGAGTTGAATACAAATAGATATTAATATGGCCTAGTATACATAGTTTTTTTCTCTATAAACAATAATCCCCTTAAGAATATCTATTACATTTATAGTAAATTTCTTGTGTATGACAGAAAAAGACTAGGAAGACAATGTAGAGTCTTACTTATTTTACTTTTTATTTAAAATAAACTTGGTACACTATGGGAACCAACAAATGTGCCACACAAAAATTAAACAATAATCTATAAAGAAAATAGGGAGAGAATGAAGAAGAGATGTCATCCAGAAAGCAAGCAAGCATACTTTTCAAGACCATTCAACATTCATCAGTTCATGTTACTTTCTGAAAGAGAAGAAGGAAATTGTGGCATGTTCGTCAGTGATTGCGATCCTTGATTATATCTGGTAACGTTTCGAGTTACCGATTCCAACTCTCTCTGGGACTTCAACTGGGGTGTCATGATGTACCAACATAAATATCCTTTATCCCACGACGCCACAAGTCATGGGCTGACTAACTCTCTTTTTCTCCATCCAGTCTCAGGGTTAGCGAACATAAATCGGTATGGGGGCCTCTGGAATGATATTAGTAGCACATGTGCAAGTCACCGGAGCTGGTGTCCCTTGACGACCACACTCAATGGATGGTGACCACCATTGTGTCCAAACACATACTGCCAGATCTCAGAATTACTCACACGATGGTGCCATTGGAGGCAAGCAATTCTATGGAAACAACGACGATCGAATATCCAGACTCGCCGCCCACCTTCAGCTCATAGAAGCCACGTTTCACAGGCGTACAGCAAGACTGAGTCAACCGAAACGTTATTAACCCGACCTTTGACAGACAGGCTAACGTTGCGACAGCGCCAAGTTGACGTATACCACCCTAGCTTTCATGATACAGTTGGAAATCTCATCCGTCACCCCTCCGCCATCACTCACACAACTACCTAGATACACAAACTTACCAACAAATTCAGGCGGTTCACCTATAAGGGTGAGTGCAGGTACAGACTCCTACCAACCTTGAAACAGTACTTTGTACTTGGACGGCGTAAGGCACATACCAGACTTACAGACACTGATTGCCAACTGGTTAAATGCAATGTGGGTAGCCTGCATGCAATTGCACAGTAAGACAATGTCGTCTGCATATTCGAGGTCAAAAAGTCTTCACGAAGGTGATCTACACAGCCACCACCAACACCACCACCAATATCACGCACATCCTTCCGAGTTGACTACAGAATGTCACCAATGGCAAAGTTGAAGAGAAATGGATAGATTGGGTAACCCTGTTTAATCCCACTGTTGGTTGGGAACAATGGTGATAGTTGGTTGTATGCCCTCACTCTACCTGAGGTGTTTCTGTATAGGGCTTTCAGGATGTTCACAAACTTCTCAGGAACACCTCTCTCTAACAGACAGTTCCAGAGAGCAATTTTGTCCAACGAATCGAAGGCAGTCCCAATAACAAGAAACACAACGATTGTTGATCTGATAGTCTTATTTAGTAGCAATGTACAAGCTATTCAAACCATACATCAACCAGCTGAAGATGAATACCTGTATTGTTTACTTTTTACCGTTAAAGCCCTAGGCAAGATTGATGGGACAAATTTATTTTAGATGATACCTTTAAAAACGGTTTTCAATGACGAAATTTAAGCAATAGGTATCACGGTAATAATGATAACAATATTAATGTTAGTCACGACAAAAATATCTCTAATGATAACCATATATAAGCATCTATAGATACCGGAGTAGGTTATGCAACATATAAAATCGTCTGTAGAATGTATACGTCCCAGAAAGAGATGTGAAATAAGACTATTGCACAAATACGACATTACACAACAATGTGATATGTGCTGGATGGAAAATTCTTTTTTGTTGTATAAAATACTACTGAACAGGACAGATGAAACAACACCACAGGATATCGAAGTGAAGTAACACGAATAGCAACAGCAGTGAAAAAAAGGGGTACACAAATTAATTTGACCTTTTCTTTTTGCTGTCTATGTAAAAGGTAAGCCGCTTCGTCTGACCGTCTCTATGTGCATTTTTCGGTTCATCTGCTCTTCTGGAGCAAAGAACATTGACTGTAACCAGAATGGTTTTATGCGATTAAAAGGCAGTCTGTAGAAAGTTTTATCCTAAAGCAATTTTACTGGCTCCCGCCGCTAAATGAATCTTTTACAGTCATTGTAGGATTGCTTATCGACTCCACTTAAACACGTTGTGTTCTTTTCGTTCTCAACACCTTAAAGTGGAGAAGACCCTGGCTATTAATGGACTGAAGCCATGACTTGTGTGCAAAGAAAAGTATGTACGGTCATTCTTTCGACCATTTTACCATAAAAAGAATAGTAAAAAGCATTTGTTTACTCTTTTATTTCTTCCCTTCGTTAGATTAATCTGTTAACCCTTGTTTTACTACTAGTGTGTTATCTTCCCTTTGGGCATTATGCGGTGTCATTTCACCTATCCTTTTTAGTAACTCATTTCGCAACAAAAATGGATAATTTACCCAATTTGTGTTACATTGTTACGTGGCGTACTATTTGTCCAATAATCTTATTATTTTCACACTTCTTTCTGGGATATACACATTCCGTGAACAATTTCCCATACTGCATGACTTATTCTGCTATCAATCAATATTCAACTCTGATTATAATTAGGAACTAGAAATATTTTTGTTGTAGCTTACACTAATACTATTATGATTATTAGTGTTTATTGTCTAAATACCCTCAATATGATATATATATATATATATAAACATGCTAATGTACAGTTTAATAATAAACCTGTTGGAAAAATTTCATTTGCTGAAAATTTTTTCCTAATGTCACAATGATAATTGCTACAAGTCCATAGAGTCTGTGTTTGTACCCGCTTGCCAAAGTGAACCTATAGAACCAGTAAAAAAGTTCGTGTATTTGGGAGTCTGATTACGTTGACGGTAAACACGTTGCTAGACTATGTACATACATTAGAATAAGTGTCCAAGTAGTGTTTCACTCATAATCCAATAAGGCAGCAACATCTCTTAAAATGTCAGTCGTCTGTATAAGCACTGAGGAAGATGTGGTGAATAGTATTTCTAATCATAAATCGAATGCCAGAGTAACATAACACAATCGCAGTCATCTAGGACTTTATTTCGATGTAGGGCCGACAGCTGAAGGTTGGAGTTACAGTGCTTCGGTGCATGCAGTCTTGCACTACGGTCTCAATAAGCCAAACACTCCTGCTGACTACTCGTGTTTGATGATCGCTGTCTCCATAAGATTACTGGCATGCAGTGACGATATGTGCGTTGGTGGTATAGCGGTGAGGATGCTCGCCGACCATGCACATGGTCCGGGTTTCGATCCCTGGCCACAGACACACTCCTTTACCTCGCTGAGCCATAAATAATGCTGGTAAAGAGGAAAGGTTGAGCATGAGGCTAGCAATCCCATCCTGTAAAATAAACACCGCTGCAGAAACTTCAAGCCAGTCAGAAAGGATTAACAACAAGAGACTCCCGCAACACAACAACCCTGAACCTACTACCCAAAAAAGATGACCCAGGAAATGAAGATGAATTCGGTGTATGTTAAGGAGACCATTGAGCGAAATCGCGCTACATGGCCTCGAGTGGAACCCGAACGGGAAACGATGAGTTTGATGTGAATTCCAGAGTGGCGTGAGGGAGATAGTGTGAGGCGATTAAAGCTTATAAACAAACGTGGTCAAGTAAAAATGACTGCAGAGGATAGAATAAAATGGAGATGTGCTGTTGAAACCCTTGTTCCAACCAAACCCCAAGGGAATGACAATATTAATCCATAAAAGCAATGCGCTATAAACGAGGTGATATCTGAATATCAGCCTAGAAAGAACTTTACATTCTCAACAATTTAAAATCACTGTGATATCCAGTCACTAGACATTATAAATAAAAGACCATCCTTCAGGGAAATATGCAGTGATTATGCTCTAAAGCTACTGGTATTGCAAGAAACAAAAACATAGGGGTGCAGCTAATCATATATATAAAAGAATAATATTAACACCTACCTGAGGATAAACTTGTTTAGCGTCAGATTTTGAGAGCCAGCTAAGTGATTCATTATCAACTGTTTTGTTTGCGTCTTGAAACCTTTCACCCAGTTGAGTAGACGTTTGACTATGTAAAGAAGTGGGAAATGTATTAGGCATTCCATCATGAAGTCGCATATCTGCAAAAGCTTGGCTAGGTGGGCTTAGCATACTTGTAGATCCAGATGTTTCGCGAGCTTTTGCACCAAGAGACTCAGCACTTTCATGTCTTAAATCGAAGGCCGCGAAACCATTGCTTCCATCTGGCGTAGGTGAAGAAGGATTTGACTGTCTAGTACTTGTCGTGCCTTCTTGTCGACTTTTTCGACGTCCCAATGTATTTCGTAAACTTGAAAATATACCCTACATCGACAGAAAAAATAGTACTACATCAAATTCTTACCTGTTTTGAGCGCTTAACATAATTACTGGGCACATAGCCTGTATTTCCGAAAGAATTCATCACTTTCCACCAATGCTGACTGTCGTCAATGAGCGTTAATCTTTCACCTTTTTGAATACCAAGTTCGTGACCATCTGATGCTTTATAATCAAATTTTGCTATGACAAAATCCGTGTTTTTGTGAGACATTATTGCCTAACAAAAGAATTTACAGCACATAAAAGATAAGGGAAAATAACCAGAGAGTAATAATTCAACTCAGAAAACACTTATGACTACAGCTACACCCTGCAATCTTCACATTCACATATCGAAAACCATAAACTACACAAATTGAAGTACTGAGAGCACGTCATGTGACTGAATACCATATGTTTGCAATATGCAGTTAACTCCTAGGAGGTAATGATTTCTCCTAATTAGTCTCCCCATAAAAGATCCCTTGGAAATATAATGAAGATACCAAAATGATAAGTTCCAAAGACAGTAATAAGTAATATGGGCAGGATTTTTCAAAAAACTAAACATTTACCTAATTACCAATAGGCAACAAGTCGTTCCAACATGCATTACACAAAAATAAGCGATAAAATATTAACTAAGGAAAGATTCGCACTGCTTATGTTAACTTTACATTCCGTGCGGGCTAAATACAAAAACAAACGACTCCTTGTACTTTTTTACCGATCTAATATAATGCATGCGAATTCTATCATGAGTTACTTTAGCTGTATCATCGATAACTATGAATTAGTGGGAGGAGTAACCTTAGTACACATGATATGTACTACTGTATGATAATGAGCAACTAAGAATCACACATAAACACCAGTCGGTCGGTCGGTGTCGGTTTTCGACGTAGAACTTTACACATATGTGCGGCAGTTCAAGTCGCCACACTCCATGTAGCACACAAAGCAAGAGAAGAAAGTAGAAGAAATGCATAATAGAGACAGTAAACAGAGGTGTGAGACAAAGGAATAGTAATAACGAAGAACAAAACAGTTTAATTGGAAATCATAAGTCACAAGGAGTGAATGCATCTGCGCCACTGAGAACGATTTTGAGCCATGTCACCAATTGTTTCCAACCATTGGGTTTTACCGTCTCGAGGACCCCAACCAGGAAGTCTACATCTTCCTACGTGGCTTAGACTAACTGTTGTGGATTTCATTGACTGGTGCCATGTTTTCGTTTGACCGCCGCTAGCTCTTTTCCAGCCTGGCCCTATATCAGCTAACATTGCCCATCGAGGAAGGCGATGACTAGGCATACGTAACACATGTCCTAACCATCTCAGTCGATGTAATTTCACAGTCTCGTCTATTGGTTTCCCCTCCTTACCTAGCACTCAACGCCTAACCTCAATATTGCTCACTATACAGATCGATGTTACTTAAACAGCGGACGGCCATTTCGCTCATTTGAAGCAAACTTTATCACTAGTGCTCCAAAATTAATTCAGTTCAGAGAACATGTGAATGCATTCAATGTAGAGTTAACGTAGCCTGTCTTTCGATCCCAAAACTTTCTAAATGAAGAATACAGAATAGCATACAATTCAACGAACATTTCCTAAATACTCTATTTTTACAATCTTAATGCTTTACTTGCTGTGATTTAACTGCTACTCACCTATTTTAGCCGAAGACAGACTGGATGAAAAGGGATAGCCTAAAACTGAGGAAATACAGACGTACCTTACCCATAGGTATCATGTGAAATCCCTAAATAGATAACAGCTAATTCAAGAAGTTCCTTATACCAACTAACTAATTAACCACCTTTCACTGGTGGTAGATTAGCAAACACTTCGAGTACCTCATTAAGAATACCTTTGTATCTGCGACTAAACCCTTAGGTGAGAGAAGTAGAGATAAGTCTAGAATCTCAGGTAAAACAGGTACATTCAGTTATCAGGTTGGAAATATTCGTCAACAGTAATAGTAGCTATATGAAACCGAAAGGGAAAGTAAGGGTTCCAAATTAAAAACATGGCACCTATCTATGAAGTCACTGATTATTAGTCTAAGCCACGTAGGAGAGTGTAACTCACTGACCGAGCTCCTCCAGACAAGAGAAAATAGTTAGAGACTAGATTACATGATTCCGCATCAACCGTAGCGATATACGTGCATTTACAATTAATTTCGATCTCATCGCACTTCTTCAGGTGCCCTTACCTCTCTTCCTTTATCTTTCAGCGTTTTGCAGTCCCTAATTACATTGCATTCCCTTTTATGCCCTATCTTTTATTACCAGTAGAGAATTAGCTTTAGCACTTGATTCTCAACCAATGAGTCCCGGATTCGAATCCCTTAAACCATGGTGGTAGTAGCAGTAGTAGTATCATCAGATCACAGATGAAAGGTGTGATCCATATGATAACCGAGTCCATATTGATTAGTCATTTTCTCACTTACTACGCCATGTCAAATTCTGCCCCCTTTTCTTGACTACATCTTACATTACGTAATACGCTTTCGAGAACAAACTTAACGAGTATCTGATTGGTCTAATGAATTCTTTATTAAATATAATTACGACTGTACTACTTATGAAAATGAATCGTCAAAAAGAAAATTTACTTCGCTGTTTACGTCTTTTTCTTATAACCTTTTATCACCCAATGGGTGTGATGTGTGGTGCAGCAAATTGAAAAGCCACTCAGTAAATCCAAGTTTTGATTGACTATATATCTTGGAACAGAAAACCAATAAACATGCCTGCTAACCGATTAACTGAATTATCCGCGTAGAACTCTGCATAAAGTACAGGTTACCACACTTATATACATAGAAGTAGAAAAAATGCAGTGAAACTCCAGTGAATGAAGATGCACAGGAAACAATAATTAAACCGTGATTGATGAACTTTTTTTCTCCTTTACAACTGATGAAACTTCCCCAAATAAGTGAAATGGTCGGCACATTTAACCAGTCACACTAACCCTAAACTAGGAGTCTGCGCAGACTAGTCATGCAATATTATCCTGCACTTAACAGGAACGAATCGACTGGTAAACACGCATATACAGCTCAATCCGTTTAAAGACTACTTTCGTCAGATTTTTCACGTAATTTGCGTATTCTATATTAACTGGAAAAATTAATCGGTAAAAAGTAAATCTCTAAGTATTCGAAGTCAACCGGGGGTCATATAATCGTTCTAGATGAAAAATCTCAATAAGATCTTAAACAGCTACACGAGAGTGCCTTATTAGTATAATTTACTTGGTACTCCCTTCACAGTCAGATATCTGTCGGTTTGCTGTAATATTACTTTTACCAAATAAAAGCAAGCAAGTTATCCGTCCTACAACCAGTGAATATAATACTTCAAATACAATAACTTTAGGATGACTTCTAGGTGCCAGCACGAACTCCAATTCATCTAAGAACTATTTGATTAGTGGATACTATAAATTCCTGAAGAATTTCAGTTGAAGGTTAAATAATCTTAAGTGAAGTAACCTGAATGTTGTCATGCAGAGTATGCTAGTTCGACTCCTGCTGCGACTCAGATTTACATTTCAGCTTCTACTATTATCTGTTACAGTCAATTACTGCAAGATTACCTCAGATAATCTCGAAGACATTCTTACCTGAAAAACAACAAACTCTAGTTTCGTCTTAATACAGATAACGCAGCATTTATTTGTTTTCTTTTTAGAACTCATTTACCACGGACAGCCTCTCCAGGCTACAAGTCATACTTATTGTTTGAAGGCTGAGAATACCATCTGTGTGGGCCAAAGTTGATAGATGGGGATTCGAACTTAACACCCACTGACTGAAAGTCGAGTGCCTAAATTGCGGAAAGCGTACGTTGTATGAGATCAGATTCAGGTACAGCACGCTGAATGAATATCCAAAGTCCCTTTGAAACAAGTGTATTGTGGCATGATATAAGAGAAAATCAGGTATTTCAATATCCCAACCATGAGAATCGTTTACATGCCAAATGATCACCGTTAAACATATTCAAAAGATGCTTCTTCACACCGGATACTCGGCATTGCATATGGTCTAAGAGCATTATGTTGCCTTCATGTCGACATTCTTGTCAAACGTGCTGCATGACCTTATGAATGTATGATACGTCCAATGACATTTTTATATGCACTCGCCACTTGATGTTTGCCAAAGAATAGTGGCCACAGAGTCGTAGGTTTGAACCCCGATGCTTGAAAATCCAGACAGTATTAATAGCCCTCATACAATACCTGTAGATCACTACCAATTGCAAATGCAAGCGATTGCTACAGAATATTATGAATATTATCTTACTTAGTACTCAAATTTTTACTTCTCCAAGCAGCTTAAACTTAAGCAGCCAGTTCTAATTTCAACATAATCATATACTTAATAAATGCGACTTTGGCTGTACTACAAACCAACTGCAAAATGCTTATTTTTGAGATTACATGTAGGCAACCACTTTATGACTGATTTCGAACGCACTGCAAAACAGGCGCAATTTAGCTTTCCTGACGTCATTTGTTTTCATCTTCAACTTCTAAAGTTGTTATTCGCCTTATTTTCTGAATAAACATAATCTCATTTTGTATACAAGTGGCTAAGAAGCTTAGTCAAACCAGTATATGTCTTGTAAATGGACTACAAGTTTTCTCTCTATAATTCATATTAAAGATTCAATAGCTCAATTCTTTTTTTGAGTGGTTAATCCAATGACTTCAGTTGAAATTAAAAATACCACACGTCTTATTCTAGATCTTCAGCATTTTAAGTGCACTTCCGACTAACGGATATATCGTCTGTTGTTACTGTATTGTTTCAGTCTGATAAACAGTAGCCCTTTTCACCTTAACAATTCACTTCTTTTGAGACGATCCTGGCAACTACGCTGTTTAAGAAAGATACTGGGTTGCCGCTGACATCCACGAAATGCCCAACAGCGCAGTTACGCGTCTGCAGCACATTGCTTGATACAGCTGTCGTTTCGCAAATGCCTTGTAGAAAAACTTGCAGTGCATGTATAAGACGTTTACTCATATCAAGATTAGAGTTGTCTACGTTTTATCTGAGTGAATAAATTATTCTGAAATGGTAACCCTCCTATGGCTTGACCAAAGGTATTTCGGACGCATCATGAGGTTATCTTACATTAGAGAATACAAGAAGTCAGTCTTCTGTCTATACTTGATTCTTTGAAGAGAACTTATGATTCATCATGCATAAACCGGCTTAAAAAATCCTACAGGTTGAACATTCGGAGAAATCCTGTCTAGTAGAAACATTTGCAAACGCCATTAACAACCCTATTCAGTGATACGCCATAAGCTTCCACAAAAAATACCGCGATCCAGGCATCTACACTTAACAGAGCTATATCTGGCAAAGAAATAGAGCTACTATACCAGCACCCAACAAAGATCGAGAATCGTTCCACAGTATTGATAGGTATGTACCAAGAAATCAGCAGTTATATGCACGTTATTGGATAAGAGAATATGCCATGTAAGACGACTGCATCAGACTACTTTCCAAAGTTGAAGTACTTAATGGGATATTTCTTCCCTAAATATATAGTAACAACATAATTTGCTATATGAATATTCAAAAAATTTTCTTTATTAAACTGATAAATGCTCGCTATATTATTCCGGCCGGTCCGTGTAGTATTGAGAAGCATCCTACTCTGCATTATAAATTGGTTTAATTTTGTCTTCCATATGAAGACAATACTGACATTTTGGAATGCGGTGTAGATGAGTAACACTTCATGGCTCTATTTTTCTAAAGGTGGTGAGTTCGCAATCCCCTTAAACCACGTATTTTTCAGTAATTAATCGGTTGTTCTCCAAGATGAAGCACGGTTAAGAGAATAAAAGGTCAATTTTTATAGTTTGATACTTCACAAGTCATTGTAAGTCAGGGGAAAAAATGATCATAAGAACTCACTTTTATAAGACCATCGAAAAGAGCGCTTCAAAATCAATCTCCAATTTTCAGCGGGTCTTAAAAGTTAAGAAAACGTGCGAAAACGATTGCATGATATGTACCGATTGACTGACATTCGCAAACCAAACTGAGGCAAAATACAAGTATTCGAAATTACCAGTAACCAATATCAAGAGCGAATCCAATATCCACTATCGTTTTTACGAGTTGGTCCTTCAGTATCGTCGTCAATAGAAAAGAGACAATAATAATAACAATAATAATAATAGATATAATTAATGAGGGTATTCAGACTAACAGACAGAAAAAGAATAAGAAAACGTAACAACAGTCAGTCAACCGGTATATATATATATACCGGTAATAATGATAATAATAATAGGTGTAGTTAAAGCCGTCAGGAGTGTAAGACGGAAGAGAATTTAAAGAAGTAAAACGACAAGTTTAATTGTCTGCCCTTGAATGGTGTATGCGATTTTAAGGGGATAGGCCATCTGGATGCAGTCCTTGTGTCGCTGCATGGTTATCCAGCCTTCGCTTAAAGGCGTCCACAGACGGTGCCATAGCTACATCTGCCAGTGAGGAATTCCAGGGACGTGCGTGCTGTTTTAGAATGTTTATTCTGTTTGTTCAGCAGGAATCCTTATTTTATGCAGAAGATTTACCTGCTGTTAACTTTAATGTTATGAGTTGTTTCTGGTATATTTTTTGTGCTTTTTACAGCGAGTGGATAAAGGAGCTATTGACAGTCTCTTTGGGTAGTAGGCTCATATAAAATCACAAGCTTCAGTTAGACAATAATCCTGTCATTTCCACTCATGAAAGAGGAGGTAATCACGCGGCACCAGAGCATTTGACATGCTGTAACCTTATCTGAAAGAAACTTGACCCTAAAAGTGTCGATATATAGTTGTGAAAGGCACCTACGTTTAGAAAAAATATATAAATGTTAAGCTCTTAAGTGAGAAGGGACTTACTAGAATGCAGTCTGTAGCCAAGGTAATTGTTGCTCACTTATAGGATGCCACACTTATTAGCGTTAAAGGGTAGTGCCTGGGCACTGATGCAGCTGCATAGACTATCCAGTTCACCGGAAACATGGGAGAACCATGCCTCCAGTGTCGCATGAGACAGTTGCAAATGTTCTAAATATCATCAAAAAATATGAAATGAATAGTAGGGAAGTCAGTAGACCTATAAAACTACATTGTAGCTATTACATAATCTTGCTATTCGATAGTCGTACTCGAAGGATTAATTAAACTAAGGCAGAACACGATTGACGAAGCCGCAGGATTTAAGCACAATAGTATTAAAACTGCGGTCATGGACAAATGCCTGCTCAAGGATAAAGAAACGAATGATAAATATACCGCTATCATGTTTGGTGATGACATCATCAAAGTAGGTAAGACGCTAGGTAAAAGACCAACAGTTTCAATAAGCTATTTTGCGTCGGGTAGAATAACTTGTCAGAGTTAGAAGTTAATTGGTGGATGGTGACTAGAAGTGGAATCCAGGATGCGCATTTCGTCCTTATTGGGATTCGTCCTCTGGATGTACCTGCATTCCGCAGTTAGTGACGATGTTCCTACCTAGGCTCAAACCTAGTACCAATAGTTTCAAATGCCAAAGCGTTTTCCTGTCGATTGATTGTACCGAAGTGCTCGGTCTCAGGTTGACATGTCGGCTTCTTGTGCTGATGCTTCGACGATGTCTTGGCATGTAATTAGAAGTTAATTAACTTCTAATCGACGGAAAAATCTAAAATTGAATTAAACTTGTCAGAGTATTTATCACACCTTGAAGACCATCCCTTAAGTAACAGTTATGTTATTTTTACATATCGACAATTCTCGATATTGGAAATCCGATCAGTTTTCTTCCAGGCGAATAAA